AAAGGTTTTTCATTTGATATGAAGTACGTGGCAGTAATACCCTACGACGCAGCCTTGTTTTTCATCTTTCGCTTCTTTCGTACTTTATTCCTCTTTTTTTTCTGTAGTGTAACTATTGCTCCTTTCCCCCACTATTTTTTTTTTCTTAATTTATGTATTAATCTGTACTAAAAAGTAGATAATCATTTTTTCGGTTATGTTTTCGTATCGTGACTATTTTTGCTGACTGTGTATCTTCAGTAGAATACTTTTCTGTCTCCGTTAACACCGGCTACGATAATAATATTTCCAATCGTACTATTGCCCCTTTAATTTATAGGAATTTTTCTCTTATTTTTTTTCTACTTGAAAAATACAATATTAGAGAAAAAAATTGCAGTTTTTATTCGTATTTCATCTTTCATTTGTTGACACGATTCGATGTGACGAGGCGTGTAGTGCATAACTCCAATGAACTTTTGTGACAAAATGTATAGGGCGTGACCGGGTACGCGTTAAATTGTAAATGAAGGACAAATTTTGAGTATTCCGGCTGGTGTGAAATGCGACGTGATAACATTATTTTGTTCTTTGCTCGTCGAATACTGTCCATGGCTACAGTTGGTGGTATATTTTCAAATTACTATCACAGATCTTGGATTTTAGTTGATTAAATCGAATAAAATTTTTGACGACGAGTAGGTGCTCTGTGCCAAGAAAAATGGTCGAGACTAATTTGTAAAAATATTAACCAGGGTTGGCATTTTACTCATTAAATGTTTTATTTCGTATGAAATGGCTCTAAAATATAAATTAATAAGGAAATTCTTTATCTCAGGAAAATGGAATTGGTACATTTTGCTAACAGAATGGGGCTTGTAGGTGTTTAAGATGCCTTCTTACTCTTACACAGTTTTGTTTATTTTCATGCACTCCTAGTTGTTCTTGTAAAAGAAAATTCTGATGGAGGGGACACAAAATATGAGGCCAATTGTCTGATTTGTAAGTGAAAATCTTGGATTAACTATTCAAAGTTTAAACATCTTCTTTTCAAGCTTACAATAAATTCAGAAATTTTGAGATGGATTCTTGTCGAACATACAGTTTGGTGGCATGATACGAAGAAAATATGAAGTAAAATTAGTTTTAAAAAAATAAAAAAGGGGAAAAGTTGAAAAAATGAATTTAAAAAATTTAGGAATAAAAAAATGAAACGAAAAACATATTTTTTAAAAATCAGTTGGTAATTTTAATAAAATTTTATGAAAGTAAGAATAAATGGGAAGATGAAAAAATATTGAAAAGTCATAAAAGTATTAATAAAATGAAAAATGCCAAGTGAAAACAATTGTGAAATGATGAACAATTTTAGAAAAATAAAACAATAATCAATATTTTTGTTTCATTCTTTCATTTAAAAAAAATATTGTTGAAATTGAGGATATAGAAAAGAATTCTCATTTTTATTTCAGCTTCATTTGAAAAAAGACGATATAAGACTACAATAACAAACTTCTTGACAAAACAATAATTTCAAGAGGAAAATAGTAAGTATAAATGGGAAAAAAAGCAAAATAAAGTAAGAAAAAATTCTAAGTAGAGAAAAAAGGCCGGTATCAACTAGCTGAAGGCTGTAAAGAATTTTTTTCAGGATGCAGGTTTTTTGAAAGTGGAAACCTGCTAAAAATTTATGACTGAAAACGAAAGAAGATTTTTTTAACAATAGAAATGAATTCTGTTTTCGAAACTTATTTTTTTCATCAATAGAGCTGAAAAAGTCACGTTCTGCAGAGAAAGTCATTCGTTTTAGTGCAGAAAATATTACAGCCATTATTTTAATCGCATTCAATATTTTTTTAAAATCAATTATATCGAAACGAGTAGAAAAAAATAGAAATTGAAGATAAAAAATTTGGTCTCCACCGGGATTCGAACCCGCGACCTTTCGTTCACAAGAAAAAGGCGTTGCGCCGACCCGATACCCAAAAGCGTTCATAAAAAATTCGCAACATTTTATACAGCCAAAAACGAATACGCAAACCGAAAAATAGAAACGTGCGCGAGATTTTTTAACGAATCGTTCGCCACCCTCGTTCGAGAGTCGTTTTTCGTGAACACTTTTAGGTGACACTTTCGAAAAAAGTGATTTTTGGGCGACACTATCGCCATCTGTTCGAAAATGTTGCGAAGTACGTAACATAAATGCTTCGTGACATTTCCGAACAGATGGCGTTAGTCTCGACCAAAAATCAAGTTTTTTCGAAAGTGTCACCCAAAGTGTCACCTAATAGTGTTCACGAAAACGACTCCCGAACGAGGGTGGCGAACGATTCGTTTTCAGAAGTGTGAATCATTGAAAAATCTCGCGCACGCTTCTTTCTATTAAGCCCTGTTCACAAACAAAAACGTAACGCATAAGACTTAAGACTCAAGACTTAGAAAATTGTTAAGTCAAGAGAGCGTTCACAAAAAAAACGTAGACATAAGGATTGATAAGAAGTATGTCTGCAGCATAATAAATTCAACTTCATCGATCGAACAAAAATGCTGCAGGTAATGAAATAAACAAACCTGTTCTGCGATCCCATTGGCTCATTCTTACGTAGCCGCGTAAGATTCCCATCCGGATGGGAATCTTACGCGGCTACGTAAGGTGGCGTAGCTGTGTGTCAACCGATACGTATTCTTTACGCGTTATGTAGGTGTGTGAACGATAGTGTGTTAACGCATATGGAAGTAGGGTAAGTCTTAAGTCTTATGCGTTACGTTAGAGCTTGTGAACAGGGCTTTATTCGGTTCGCGGATTCGTTTTTAGCTGTGAAACGTTGCGAATTTTTTATGAACGCTTTGGGGTATCGGGTCGGCGCAACGCCTTTTTTTCTGGAAACGAGAGGTCGCGGGTTCGATTCCCGGTACAGACGGAATTTTTTGTTATCAATTTCTATTTTTTCCCACTTTTTTGATATAATTAATTTTTAAAAAATATTCAATGCGATTAAAATGATGACTGTAATATTTTCTGCTCTAAAACGAGTGACTTTCTTTGCAGAACGTGACTTTTTAGCTCTATTGATAAAAAAAATAGGTTTCGAGAACAAAAGAATTGTTGAGTTGTTGCCACCCACCTCACGCTCCGACATCGATACTTCCGAGTATCGATGTTCGTTCGGAGAAGATGCGTTCGTCCTCGTTGATATCGCTCCGTGCCAGTTTTGTGCCTAATTATGCCCGCGGCCATGAGATGAGCGTCAGCGTCAGCGAGAGCGTTTTAACAATGGATTTTGAAAAATGAGCGTCAGAATGAGCATCTTTTCCGCTGGTGAAACGCTCACGCTGACGCTGACGCTCATCTCATGTTCGCACCCTATGTATTTCTTATAGTTTTTGTGAATAAATGAGTTTATTTTCATGTCTGTCGTCTATAAATCCCAACATGGTAGCTTGAGCGTTTGTGTTATTCGTTTCATGTGCTTCAATGGATGGTCCAGTTCAAGCTTCGTGCAGCTCGACAATGTGCTTCAGCCAGGGGACAAGTCCTCTGCTTTTGAAGGTACTAGCAGTATCAGCGTTTGTTATTTGTATTCCCAATCTCCAGGCATGACCTCTAGAAGTCTGAAATGTGCTGCGAGTTATATGTATTCAGCTGATCTGTTCGCGGATTCTGATGCTTCTTCAGTTGCTATTCCCACTTTTGTTGTTGCTGATTCGTTCACAATCTTCACCATCTTCTTTGCTGATTTGTTCGCAAGAAATTTGTCATCTTTTGCTGATCCGTTCGCTAAAGATTCTGCTGATTTGTTCGCAGTTCTAATTTGTCAAGATATTGCTGATGTGTTCGCAATGCTTGGTCAAAATGTTGCTGATTCGTTCGCATTGCTCCGTGCTTTCTTTGCTGATTCGTTCGCACCTATTTTCGTCAATTTTGCTGATTCGTTTATGGCAATTACTGCCAAGTCGTTCTTATGTTGCTTTACTCATTACTCAGTGGTTTTTGATCCGTTCAAAAGTTCATGTATAATTGATAATGATGCGTTCATTGTACTTTTTGCTCGTAACTATGTTCACTTATTTTCAACACCTTCAGTCCGAAAAATTTGTCAAGACATTTGTGCCTTTTACTGTATCTACACTCCGTCCAGTAACTGTGGAAAACAGTCTCTCCCTAGCTGATGTGTTTGCTAAGGAATTGGAAAAAACTGTGTGATCTTCATTCAACGTAGTATAATCAGATCAAGAGATTACTTCGTTTGGCTGATGTGTTTGCTGAACAAGGTAGTGAGATCTGGGAAAATCTTCATCTGTGTACCGATAAATTTCCACTTATGAGCGTCAATTTTGTTCGTAATCGTATGTTTAATTGTATGAATATTGTCTTTAGGGAGGTATTCGACTTTGATTATATCTTTGTGGATTCATCTGTTTATCATGCTCGTGTATTTGCATATTTTACTGCACTGTTACTCATTAGTGAGTGGTCTGTAATATCGAAACGTTTTTATTGTATGTACTTTTTGATTTCTTTGATTCAGAGTTATTTCCTCGAAGTTTTTATTACAGATATTTGTATTTTCATTTTTATAATATTGTAATTTTACGTTTATTTTTTTGTGCTTTATTCCTTAATTCTTCGTGTCGTCGCTTTGTTGAGGTGTCCGTCAATGGGGGGTGTTGAGTTGTTGCCACCCACCTCACGCTCCGACATCGATACTTCCGAGTATCGATGTTCGTTCGTTACCGGTCTTCTCTCGAGAAGATGCGTTCGTCCTCGTTGATATCGCTCCGTGCCAGTTTTGTGCCTAATTATGTATTTCTTATAGTTTTGTGAATAAATGAGTTATTTTCATGTCTGTCGTCTATAAATCCCAACAAGAATTTAGTTTCTATTGTTGAAAAAATCTACTTTCATTTTCGATCCTAAATTTTTAGCAGATTTGAGATTTCCACTTTGAAAATACCTGCACGCTGAAAGAAATTTTTCACAGCCTTCAGCTTGCTAATACCAGGCCTTTTCCTCTACTCGAAATTTTTTCTCATTTTATTTTGCATTTTTTCCCATTTATACTTACTATTTTCCTCTTGAAATTATTGTTTTATCAAGAAGTTTGTTATTGTAGTCTTATATCGTCTTTCTTCAAAAGAAGCTGAAATAAAAATGAGAATTTTTTCTACATCATCAATTTCAAAGTAAAGTAAGAATTAGTGGAAAAAAATGCAAAGTAAAATAAAGGGGGGGGGAAAAAACAATAATTTGAAGAAAAAAATGTATGAAAGCATGAAACAAAAAATTATTGATTATTGATTTATTTTCTAAACTTATTCATTTTCACAATATTGTTTTCACTTGAAATTTTTTATTTTATTCTTCCCATATGACTTCCCAATATTTTTTCACCTTTCCATTCTTTGTTTTACTTTGATTTTTTCCCCCATTTATTCTTACTTTCATCATATTTTTTCAGGATTACTGTTTTTCAAAGATGATTTTATTATTTTTATCATCACATCTTTCTACTAATTCATTTTTCCAACTTTTCCACCTTTTTAAACTAATTTTGCTTCACATTTTCTTCATTTCTGAGTGGTGCTTTTGCCAACGATCCGAAGTACAATTTTTACACATAAATAATACGGTCGGGTATTCTGAACTCGCAACACTTTGGTTTCCTCATTGGCATCGTGGAAAAAACATAATCTGATATGCTGAAATGACGAAAATATTGAAGAGAAATCTTACTCAGAGATATTTGAAGTAACCGAACAACTCGACTGCTTATCCACACCCAAAATATTCGAAGTAATTTTTTTTCATCTTTATTTCTTCATAATGAAAACCATAATTGAGATAGGTAATAATTAACGCGCGAAGGATATTAATATACCAGAGAGAAAAGAACATTAAAACGATCTAACAATACAAAGTAAAAGTAGAAAAAAGCGTGCACTCCGTTTCCGCTGGTGGGTAAAACAAATTAACTAACAATATCCCGCGAGGAATTCTCATCTCTTTATACATTTCTTACAGTCCTTGGTGTGGTAACTCCGTTACTCGAAACTAAGCGATATTTTTTTGTCTCAGAGCTTTCAATATTTCACTGCCCATTTGTGCGGGACTGCGAGTGACGACGACACCGGCCTGAAAACAAAGAATCAAGAGTTGTAAATTGGTATCAAATTTTCATTTCTCAAATGCAGCATAATAAATGTCTGTGAACATAATAATGAAGCCTCCAAGTTGCAGAATGTTTTATTTGGAAGTTTTTTAAAGTAGCCTTCATTATCCTATAAGAAGGCTATGAAAAAAAAAATCTATAAATTGAAGAAAATGCTGAAAACTTCCATAAGTTAAAGTCAAATTTTCATTCTGATACTCTTCAAGTCGAAGTTATAGGGCTGAAACCCAAATTTAAGAAAATTTTAAAGTAGAATAAATTTTTTCCGAAAAAAAAAAATGACAAAAAAAAATATATAAAATAAAAATATTTATTAAAGTTTTTAATATTGATGAAAATATATTTTTTTTATTATTCAAAATAATTAAATTTATTAGTATTAATTGAAGATTTTTATTTTAGCTGTTAATTTAATGTTTAATTATATATTAATAATTAATTATTTTTTTATATAAATTATAAATTTAATTAAAAAATTTTAATATATAGAATTATAATAAAATTTGTAGTTTAATTTATAGCAAATGAATTACTTTTTAATTTTTGTGCCAGAAATAGCGGTCTATAACTCAAAATTCAGAAAAATAAGAAGGCAAATGAGGTATTTTGTATTTAAGAAGCCATTTTTCTAAATATTCAAAACATAGAAGCCAAACCAGAAAAAAGTAACTCCAATATTTTCTGATTCAGCCTCTATTACATGAACTTTCATAATCCGAAGCCTTCTTCAACACAAATAAAAGCCTTCCTCCAACATAAAGTTAACGAGGCTCGACTGTATGGGTTTCTGTTTTGAAAAAATTTTTGTTTTGGTTATTCGCATTTCTTAGCAGTGTTGGTGTCAGTTTTGGTTTTCTCCTACCACTGTACAAAATTAATAAATGAGGATGGGAAAAAAAACATGTTATTTATTTTGAGTTTGATTTCAATTTTCCAATACTTTTAGTCTCAGTTTTCAAATGCATTGGTGGTGGTTTAGGGTGATTGCATTTTTAGCAACTTTCACCATTTTTCAGGATCTGTCAAGGTTTGCTTCACATCATCAAAACAAATGCATACAGATTCGAATGAGAGGGCAAAATAAACGTGCAATGCAAATCTGATTCAAATTGATTAATAAATTCACTGGCAAAACAAAAGTGCCATTCACTCAAATTGCAAACAATTTATGAGAACTATAAAGGTCAACAACATCAAAGTTACCAGTTTGAACTTCTGAATCATACATCAGTTGAAGGTAAACAAATTTTAAACAGCGAAAAAATTATTGGAAAAAAAGAAAAATGTGGTCCGACGTGAGAAACGGCCCCTTAGAATTAAAATACAATTTTGAGTAAAAAAGGCAAAATAAGTTCGAAACTCGAGGTAATTTCGAGTATTTCTCAACTTCAAATGGATGCATCTCTTGAGTTTTGCTTTGATTGATGCACCATTGAATTATTCAGACAATCTTCAATCAGAATCCGTCAAAAAATTTTTCGACTCTCCCCCCAACTCAAAGGGGTGGTTTTACACATCGCATCACAAATATATTATGTAGATGACGATTCCAAATAGGTATTGGCTATTTTTATCAGTACTGAACAAGTTTATTTACAATCTCATCAAAAGAAACTTCACCAATTAGTTCTGTGGGAACTCGGAGCCCGGCATAATCTGTTTTATACGCTACGTGCACCGAACTATTTGGAGTCAGATCGAGAGATCGTGGTGAACTCCGGGCTACCCCAGCTCCACCGGCATAATCTGTTTTATACGCTACGTGCACCGAACTATTTGGAGTCAGATCGAGAGATTGTGGTGAACTCCCGGGCTACCCCAGCTCCGAGTTCCCACAAGTTCCATAAGAGTCTGTGTTATTTTAACCATTTTCAAAAATCGTTTAAAAATTAAATTTTGAGTTATAAATTACAATTTTTTTTAAAATGAAAGATTATACCATCATCTTCGAATAGAGGACATTGAAAAATTTTTCTGAGTCCTTTATACTGCCGTCCTAAGCCAAAAAGACGTAAGTCATTTTCTGTTTTACACGCGTTTCCCATATAAAACGGAAATTGACTTACGTCTTTTTGGCTTAGGACGGCAGTATACTTGAACTGGAAAAATTGAAAAAATGAATTTATAATTTTTTAGTTTTCATTTTTGCAAAAGAACAGGTTCTAAAATTTCGTTTCATCATTTTTTCACTGAGTAAAATTCAAAAATCAATTTTTGATGAATTTTTGTAAATTTTTAAAAATACCCAGTCTCTATAGGGGCATCGATGAATTTCCTTTCGATGAGATATCAGTATAATGTAAACAAAAGATGCTGACATCATTTCAGAAACAACTATAGTGGTTACAAAATGTTTTGGTCTCTCAAAGAAATTTCTGTGACTTTATCAGCTCCTGCAATGATTTTC